AGCGACTCGAGGGTGACACGGATGGTCATGTCACCTGGAGTGTGATCAAGCAACACAGTGCTCAGGACCTGCTTGAAACACTTCTTGTCTCCTTGGTCGCGGAACTCGAGATCGAGGAACGGCCGAACCCATGGAGGAAAGCTAGCTGACGGTAGTACCGCGGACCGGGTGCCGCGGACTATCTGGTGAGTCATCGGCAGCGGCACTGGAGGGTTAGAATCGCCACGCCGGCGGCAAGAAGTGTACGTAGCCATGATTACTCGTCCGGGACCGGCCTCCTGAGGAAGAAGCGAAGTCTGGCTCAGTGCAGACCCCGGAGGCGGATGGTGATGACGAGGAGTCGTTGGACTCGTGAGAACTCTTGACAGTGGAGACGACGCTTGAGGCGCCCCGGACCTGGTTTCACGAGATGCCGAATCAGCGACCGGAGGAGATGATTCGGGGCTTCGGGGAGTTCCCGGGGGAGAAGTCGTCGGAACACCGGAAACAGAACCCTCGACAACAGCAGATGTTCGACAAAACGTCGGTCGACGGTGGAATATCCTCATCACCAGCAGTATCACTAGAAGGAAAATCGAACGAAGGTTCGTCGTCATAAGAATGATCTCCACCAGCTCCATCCCCGTCGTGAGAACCATTGCTGGAGCCACCCTCGTCGCTATCGGAAGAATCAGGAGATCGAGGAGGGGGAACCGAAGGTTGTTTGGAGAATGGTGTACTGTCAGGACGCTTGAGGTGACGGGGCATCTTCATCAGAGGATAAAGGATAAGACAACATCGGCCCAGCAGGTTCACGAGACGCCTTCGAACCGCTTGGAGCATCCTCATCGTCGTCAGATCCAAATAGTAACTGCATCTGGAGCTCGTAAGAGGTAGGAGCTTGTGGAGGAGCATCAGCCGGCGGCGAAGAAGCGAGACGAGGGGGAAGCCACGTTACTGCGCTGGGAAATTGCAGGACGAGTCGGTGAAGCTGGGCGAGTCACCTCCGTGTCTTCGGGCTCCGTCGGAACTGCAATTGGTTCCTCCTCCATGTCCTTGTCACTCTCCTCTTTCGTTAAGTCCAAGACCTCAGGAGGTTGGTCGTCTCTCGACGACTCAGCCTTGGGAGGAGTAGCCGGTGGAAGTGCGGGAGACTTAGACTTGTCCGGACGGGTGGACAAAGAATGCGAACGAGATTTCGAGTGACTCCCGAGCGATTTGGCGTGGGCCGCCGAAGGTGAACGCGCAGGCGGCCTAGACGTCGAACGGCGAGAAGCCAGGCAGCCTTCTCCAGTCGATTTAGCGTTTCGTTGTGTTCCTTGGCTCTCCGCTCCTTTTCTGCCGCTTGATAATCCTTGGTCATAGTCAAATCACCTTCGTGTTGTCGGTTAACCTCACGACGCCACGCTAACGCGTCGGACTGTCTATTGGAGCCTCGTCCGAGTGATGAAGACGTCGCTCGGAGCGTGGATTGTGCGTCCCAGTCGTGAACGAGGTAAAACGGCGTCTCTTTCCTTGTTGTGTCCTGGGAAGTGTTAATTGCAAACACCAGCCTTTCAGCGATCTCATCCCAACCCTGCTGAAGAGGGTCTTCCGCATACACCCGAACGGAGGTCATCACCGACTTCACGGAGCGTTCTAGTTGGCAGTTGACTTGAGGTCCATAACTCAAAGTCGATCGTGATCGTAACTGCATCATCTCGGCGAAAGCTTGGAAAACTTTACTCATGAACCTTGGGTCTCGATCATGCCGAATCAACGATAATGCTCCGAACCGTCGGTACACACACTATTCGGACACTCGCGCTACGCTGAGTGCAGATGTGTCTGACATAGCTTTAACAATGACGAATCCAGTGAACGAGCATTGGAATAGCAGCAAGGCTGTGTTGCCCCTGCGCGTCTTTGGTAGAGGTATCACAAAATCCATAGAGACAATCTGGAACGGTCGTTCAGCCAATACATTGCCTGGTGAGTATCCTCGCAACTGTGGGCGGTTCTTACTTGAGCTACAGTCCAGGCACGACTTCACATATTTCTCCACGTCAGCATACAACCCAATCCAGTAATAGTCGGACTTAACACGGTTGAAGGTCCTGACGACGCCTTGGTGACCACCTTCCAGCGAGTCGTGGCAGTTCTGCAAGACTTCATGAATCATTGTGGTGGGTACCACTAGACGCAACTTGTTCACCTCTTGCCACCCGTGGTCGTACCGTTGGTTCAAACCCAGGTAGTGAAGCACACCGTCTTCTGACAGAACGAATCGGTCTGCATATTTC